AATTTAAACATTTTATATTGTTATTTAATTTTTGTCTAAAATTAAAACAAGACTCTCCCTCCTACCCTGCTTACCAAAAATGATGATGATGATGAGGATGATGAAAAGACGGAGAACACTAGTTGGTTGCTACATGCACAGGATGTTGAAAAAAAATGAGCAACCATTGTCAGTGAATAAAAGCCACAGGAAAGGGTTTTCTTACAAAGGTGTTGACACATATATATGAATATGCTCAGTTATTGTGAACCAGCCTCTGTGGCGCAGTGGTTAGGCACTTCGCTGTTGCCTGAGGTATATTCCCATGTGGAGAGAATCTTTATTAAATATCGGCCTTTCTGCTGGAATTTGTATCCCTCTTAGCCCGGGTTGACCTTGACAGGTAGCTTAGGAAGCCCGCTTCCTAAATGGTCTAAAGTGTGTCGATGGTGGCGTAAAGAATTCGTACATAAAAAGTGGGTGGTTGATGGATGTTCTGGTATGGTTTGCTCCTTCTTTCCGTTCAAAAATATAGATTAAATCTTTTATTGTCCTTATTTCCCCCCTTCTTTTCTTTATATAAATATTTCTTTCTAGTCATACTTCAAATTTTTGGCGCGTATAGTGATCTACCTATGCCGTTAAACTCTTCCTAAAACTAAAACTAGAAAAACAAAGCTGTCTCCACATCAAAGAGTTAACATAAAATTATCTCAGACATTTCGAGTTTATAGAAAGTAATCTCGACAACAATCAATTGCAAAGAGTGTAAAGCTAAAATAGCGGATACAACAACAAAGAATTAACAAAGAGTTGTCTCAACAACAAAGAGTGAACAAACATTAAATATCTGAGTATCAAAGAGATAACACAAAATCGTATGAAACATGAAGAGTAAACATTATCTCAACAATAAAGGGTTAACACAAAGTTGTCTTAATAAGAACGAGTTAACGTTGTCTCAACAACTAAAAGTTAACAAACGTCAATTATCTCAACAACAAACTGTTAACACAAAATTGTCTCCAATTAATATGAAGAATTAAAGTTTTCTTAACAATAAACAGTTAATATCTGCCACTGTGTTGACTCAACAACAAGGCGTTAACGCAAAGCTTTCAGTCTTTCTTCCACCTCATCCAGATCATATCCCACCGGTCCCAAAGCGCCCACATACGTGACCACGCCCCTTTCCACAATGAACAGACGTTCTGGCACCGCCCCGTACAGGTGAGAGGCCAGGTCTTCCATAGAGTCCACCAGCAGACGACCGGAGATTCCTATGTCGTCTAACGTCTTGGCTGACTCGAGCCGGTCTTCGAGGGCTGTGTGTGCCTGTCGAGGAGGCGAGGGAAGATTGTTATTGTTGTTGCTATGTGTGTGTGTGTATCCATTCGAAATGTTTGGAGCCCCAAAGAGCGTGTTGCTGTTGTTGTTGATGTTACTGTTGTTGCCATTGCTGTTACTGTTGTTGTTGTTGTTGTTGTTGTTGTTGTTGTTGCTAATGGTGGTGATGGTGATAGTGGTGTTGTCACTGTTGTTGATGTTATTACTACTTTTGTTTTTGTTGTTGAAAGTGATGATGTTGTTGTTCTTGTTGTTATCATCATTATTACGGTTATCAATTTGAGGATCATAGAATTATAATCACAACCATCTTCTATGTTTTCTTCTTCGTCATCGTTGCTGCTATTTAATAGCTGTCGGTGACAAACTATTAAAACAGTGACAAACTGTCGGTGACAAACTATTAAGTAGTGGCAACTGTCCGGGACAAACTACCCGTGACAACTGTGGCTGACAAACTATAGATTATAACTACAGTGGAAACCTGATATCAAAGGTATGATGGTACCACAGAAAAAGTCCAGTTATATCAGATCCCTATTAAATGAGAAAATTCAAGGGAAGTAAGCATCTGAGGACGTATCCGGCTGTATTTATTCATGGATAGTTTCCCTTACCACATCGCAGACCCCTACGTATGACACATTTAGACTTCAGACTAGATCCACGGCTTACTAAAATTATCTTATTAAGCCGAGGTTAGATTAAAATCGGCAGCACACCGCAGCCCTCTCTCGCTTCTCCCGCTGCGTGTGCTTGCAGTGGCGTGACTTGCGTGGACTTACCCCATCACTACGTCTCTCTCTCTCTCTCTCTCTCTCTCTCTCTCTCTCTCTCTCTCTCTCGCTCTCGCTCTCTCCCGCTCACTCTCTCTTTCTCTCACTCTCTCTTTCTCTCTCTTTCTCTCACTCTCTCTTTCTCTCACTCTCTCTCTTTCTTTGAGTGTATTCGCCTGAGAAATCACAAAAATACCCCCCATAAAACCCACAAACACACACACACACACACACACACACACACACACACACACACACACACACA